AGGGGGACACCATGGAATGGGGTAGAACAATGCTGTGGGGATTTTTAGGGCTGGATGTTGTGGAGGTTTTTAGGGCTGGACGTGACCTTCCCTCCTAGCTGGGCATGGCCACCCCCTCTCCCCTGAGCCCAGGGGCAGGATGGGGGTCTGGCTTGGCAGCACTGGGGAGGGGGCTCCTGGCAGCCCAGGGCTGACACTGGGCTGTTCTCCCCCCCCAGCCACGTGCCCCTGCATTCCCCGCTGGATTACAGCAGTGACATCCACACCAGCTCCCTGCGCTCCGTCTGCTTCTCCCCAGAGGGTCTCTACCTGGCCACGGTGGCAGATGACAGGTGAGTGAACCCCCCTGGGGACCCAGGAGGGGACCAGAACAAACCAGGAGCTCAGGATGTGGGGAATAGACCTCGTGTACCGGGTCCCCACCAGTTCCTGGGGCAGGGAAAAGGGCAGGCTGCTGGGAACAGCAGCTTGGGATCCCCACGCTTGGCTGTGGCAAGGGGCAGCAAGGCCAGGGCCCTGTCACCCCTTGGAGCAACGAGCCAGGGCCCATGTCCTCCTCCTGTGCCCCTTGCTGTGCATCCCTGTGCCCCCCCAAACCCCTGGGAAGCAAATCCTTCTCCAGCGTTCGGGTGATCCCAGAGGCTTTGTTTTGGCAGCGGGCACTGCGTGAATGTGGACCTGGCATCGTGTCCCCTCCCTTTCTCCACAGGCTCCTGAGGATCTGGGCGTTGGAGCTTCGCTCTCCAGTGGCCTTTGCCCCCATGACCAACGGTCTGTGCTGCATCTACTTCCCTCACGGAGGTTTCATTGCCACGGGGTGAGTAAACAGGGGGAGAGGGCGGAGAAACGAGAGGCTGCTCCCTCCTCCTGCAGCTCCGGCTCCACTCCGGGCTTCCCTGGGGGCGCAGGATGGTTTTCCCGGGCTGTGGCCAGCTCGGGATCTTTGGGGGTAATTGGGACTCTCTGCTCTGTGCTCGTGGTTCGTTGGGTGCCGCTGCAGGACCAGGGATGGCCACGTGCAGTTCTGGACGGCCCCGCGGGTGCTCTCGTCGCTCAAGCACTTGTGTCGCAAAGCTCTGCGCACCTTCCTCACCACCTACCAGGTCCTGGCGCTGCCCATTCCCAGGAAGCTGAAGGAATTCCTCACTTACCGGACTTTCTAAGGTGGCAGGGAGGGCGGAGGCACGGAGGTGAGGGCCCGT